ACCTCCAGCTACGTTGCCCAATTCCTAACAGGTCACAGACCGGTACCGGTCCATGGCCCGGGGGTTGGGAACCCCTGCTCTATAGAATTGCTTTTATGTCCCTTTGAGTTTTATAAGTAATGCCATAGATTTTCTACTGGTAAAACATAGACCCAATAATCTTTAAATAATAACATAATTCAAATTAAGTACCACATTAACCTTTATATCTAACAAATTAACTTAACTAATTAACTAATTTCTTAAAATAATATGCAGACTTTCAAAACAGTGTTTCTAGGAGAGCTAATAATTTTCATTACTTGGTCACCTACAAAAAAGAGTTTTCTCAGTAATGGCAAACCAGGAAGATAATCTGTATCAACATTTCTGTCAGGCTAAAAACATCATTATCACTATCACCATCATCATACCACTATCTTTTTAAAAAGTTATTAGTTTTTGAATTTTTAATAATTGGCTTTTATTTATTTACATTATTTACTTATACTGAAATTGATAAAAGGCAGCATTGGCATAATCTGAATAAATGAACAATTTGAAATGAAGGTTACATTTAGAGTTAAAGACACAAACCTTAACAAGATGTGTTATAGCATCCTTGAAAAACACCAGATCAAGCACTCCACCTCGAACATTTTCATTATATTGTCTTTGGTAGAACTGTAATTTATCAGATAAAAATTCAAGAGTTGGAACCTAATGGTAAAGAAAATAAGAATATTAAAATTACCATTAATTTTTTTTTAAAAATTAACCACTATTGCAATCAGCAAATCACTAAAACTGAAAAAAATAGTCTAAGTCCTTTCCCCGAAGAACTTATACTTACACAAACAAACAAACAAACAAAGAAAAGCCTATATATATAAAATATTAAATAAGCATGTCAGATAAGACAGATATAAGCATGGATTAAGAGGCTATTGTGTGGGGTGGTGAGATTAATAATCTGTTTCAATGATTTAAAAATAAAAGATTAAAGAAAGGTAAAGGTAATGTAAAGGTTAAGACAGAGGGGGTGACCTTGGGTCAGTCACTTTCTGTTAATTTTAGGATGGAGACAGTGGCAACCACATCTGATAAACCTTGTCAAGGAACTGCATGAACCTGTCCAGGCATTCTCCAAGAATTGCACATGATTGAATGGAAGGGGAAAAAAAGAACATATTTTGTGAAAATATTACTAAACCACCCAAAAGTAAAGTCAATGTCATCACATAAATGCAGAGAAATCAGCTCTGTCCAGGCATGTACAAAACCACATTGGTTTTCTAGACACAAACTTTATTAAAATAGAATTCCTTCCCTAATTACATGATTGCATTTGGTCAAGCACTGTAAACCCTGATATCCTCCCTCCCTCTCCCTCTCCCTCTCCCTCCCTCCCTCCCTCCCTCCGTCCCTCCCTCTCTCTCTCTCTCGTTTCAGTGCTGCAGGCAGCTCACTCTTATATTATGTACAGTAGCCTCTTTATCCATCAGTCTTATTTTACCGGCTATAGGCTTTTTAACTATAATAGTTGGCTTGTATCAATTGATCTTAGGTTTGTAGTAGTTGAATTTTCAATCTGCATGTTCCTTTATAATTCTTGTTCTCCTCTATGCCAGCTTCCTGAACATAACTATTACACAATTTCTATACTGCCATTTCTTGTAGCTTAAGTGCATCATAAGTGTAAATCATAAGCAAAGATTATGAAAATTAGGTTACTCTTGAGATCATATTTCTGTATGAGCCATAAGAGCTGTTTTGTTTGTGGCAACTTACAAATATGCTGAATAAATAATAAAATAATAAAGTTGATATATTTCTGTACTACTTTCCAGCACAAAGCTCATCTCAATTGTCCTGTATTCTCCAATCTATTATTTTCTGTGGTTTCTGTGGTTAAGAATGCTTGTTTTGAGAAAACAAGCTTTGCATTCTATCACCAAAAACTAGGAAAAAGAAGCTCAGACCCTTTGTTTACTAATAAGATGATCTCTTGGAACATTTCCAGGCTACTTTTGTCATGACTTTGTACTATAAAAAAAACCACTTTCATTCTTAGCCTATTTTTGGGAAAAATAGGTGACTGGTGAGGAGACAATGGTTGCAGGCCACATCTAGCATATTTTAATTTTTCTTCAGTACCACTTGTGTTCACTCACACAGGAGAATATAGACAAATCCATGTATGAGGGAGATTTTGTTCATGAGATGAAGGTATAACCTGAGCATAGATTAGGACCAGATCTGTGAAAGGTTGCATATACCTCCAGCTCTAGTTTGATTTTCCCTTTATATTGTGAGCAGAAGCTTAACCCACACCCAGTGGTAGTCATTTCTCAGTTCATGTTATTAAATGTTGTTGCCTGTACCGGTAAAATGTAAAAGACCCCCCAAAACATACAAAAGTGTCTGCATGTCTCTCTGAGTGTAAATTGGTCATGAGATCAATTTCATGAGCAAGCAAAAAAACCGTAAACTCTCCATAAGAGATTTTGAGATAAGACTTAAGACTACATACAATCTAACTTGGGAGGCTGGCACATCTATTTTGCATCCAGATAGCAAAAATTAAATTACCGGTATCCATGGACAACTTAGTTTGCCAGACTTTTTCTACTAGTAAAAAATGAAAAAGACAACCAACTCTTAGATTGGCTAGTGAGCATCTTAAATGCATATACTTAGTAACTAATAACTACTATTAATTGCAAGAATGTTAATCGTAATTCTGCTTGCATGTAATTCCCTTTCTTGCTTCTGAATGGCTGCTGTGGATCAGTATTTTTGTATCATTAAATGCCAATAAATAGAAAGGTGCTCTTTGGAGAACTTTTTGTATCATTGGATGTGATTTCACTACCACTACCAAGTGCAATTGCTCTAATCCTGAACATTTTATAGACAATTGGTGCAGAATATTTATTATGCTGGAATGTAATGGGTATACTTCATGCAGTTTTTGACTATGGATTTAAATTTTATGTAACTCTATTCATTACTTTTTTTGCAATTACCCATCCTAGAGTCAAGAAAAATATATAAAAATCAAAATCTATGTAAATACCAATTCATAAATTTTGGGTGCTTCAAACACAAAATCTTCTGGTTCTTCACCCGTTGGCTCAGGCATATCCCGCAAAAAATCTACAAAATATGGTTCAGCCTGAACTTTTGGTACTAAGTTTGGATCCACATGTTCTTCAATTACTCTACTAAAATTTCTGTCAAACCATTCTTCATCGTCTTCAGTAATAAATCTGCAAGAAACAAATATAGTCATTATAAATGCAAAACTTCCACTAATTTTTCTTTGGATTAAATAATTATGTAAACAAAATAAGAACAAAACCATTTCAGTAACATTCATATCATGCTTAGAACTAGATACATAATATATTTCTGAATGAAGCCAAAGCTATAATTTAGGACCATACTTCATCATGAAGTAACTGGTATAATTAAAGTTAGTTTTTCAATTATTTTGTAACACAGGCTTCTTTTTACAACAAAAGGCAGCAATCTAGTCCTCTACTTAACTTCAGCTGTCCATCTGTGTTTTCCTGCCAAATTTAAGAAGTAGTATTTTCTAACTCAATATTTTTCATTGCTGGATGTGGGATTCTGGATTGAAATCCAAACATCTTAAAGTTGGCAAGGTTAAAAAATGCTGTTTAACTTATGACGGCTCAAGTGATGCTGTCTAGTTTGCTTACTTTCCTTCATTGCACTGTATTGTAGAAAAATGTCTCCCTTCCAGATAAGCTACTGGTCCCCATGGTAGGAACATACCCTCCCATTTAATTATTGGTTCCTGCTCTCCATAACCATTTCATCTTGGATTACTGGACCAGTGAATCACTGGTCACAAAAAAAAAATTACAAAATGCCAACTATCCTGGTGTGAAAACTGAATTTAATCAACATATTACAACATATCAGTTCATTTGTTCTTTTAGACTCCTACCTCAAATCCAGTTTAGAGAAACCAAAATAGTGTATTCACTACATCTGAACTTTACATACTTTCTATCACATGGCAAGAGGCCACCCAGATCTTCCATTGTTTTCCTTTGCTTTCAGCACCACTGGGTGTCAATTTAACCATGACATAGAAGTCTAAATGGGAACAGCTCAAATTCCTCTCCTTGGCCTGTGGTATAAAGACAGCTACTGTTTGGCAGCTGGAAAGGGTAGAAGTGGAGCTATATTGAAAAAGGCCTTCTGCTTCCATCACCACCTTTTCCACTGCTAATCTTCTGGAAATATGGGGTTTGTTGCTCTTCTCTAGCAGTTCTGTGATGATACAAAACATCAATTAGAACAATTAACCAGTGGAGCAACCTGACTCCAGAAGCAGTGAATGCTCCAATACTGGAAGTTTTTAAGAAGAGACTGGACAGCCATTTGTCTGAAATGGTATAGGGTTTGGACTAGATGACCTCCAAGGTCCCTTCCAATTTTTTTTACTACTACTACTACTACTACTACTGTTGTTGTTGTTGTTGTTGTTGTTATTATTATTATTATTATTATTATTATTATTATTATTATTATTATTATTATTATTATCCTAAATTGCTATGTCAAGTCTCCTTACATCAGCCTTCTGAAGTACTAGCCAAGTTGAAAGAGAGACAGGAAAAATGGAGAGAAGACAATAGTTGAAAATCCCTTCAACATATGAAGTCCCTCACCAGTTTTCCCTATGATGGAAAAGAAAAATAATAATTTAAAAGATACATTTAAAAATTTTCTCTTAAAATGTCTACTTCATTTACTGCAGAGTCAAAATAGATACATTAGACTCTGCCTGCTCATTCACCCCTTCTTTCCCATCACATTGCAAAAGTGACTTGTGCCGGGTGTGCATTCATTTTTGTTTTCGTAGCTTTGTTTTGGGGTTCCAGATTCATCTTTGGAATCTGGATTTCAAAATGAAAGCTGAGTAGAAGGTGGCCGATTCCTTCTTTTTTATTACTTGTAATGCTTCAGTAAATAGTCTTACCTGTCAGCAATTACGCGTGTACATTCATGTTTAAATAGAGACAGAAGTATATGAATATCAGTACATTCTTCTGATTTAATTGTTAACATGCCTTGCCAAATTCTGGAAAGATCACGCAGATTGAAGATATAATGAAATTTGGATGGTGTAGGCAGCATCTTTATCTATAACAAAAATACACACATGTATGTGTATTTGTGCAAGTTGTCATGTTGCAGAAATGAAAAACATTTACATAGGTTCCTGTGTACAATTGTCTTCCTTATATACTAGCACAGTATGTTTTAAACTATTGGAACATGAGTGAATTTTCCTTGACTACGCACTTGTGTATTTCGATTAGAGAATGATGGGGCCTGATTTTAGGTTTATCCCTATCTTGGCTGAAATATATATTTTTTTCAGAGCAACCATATGAATAAGGACTCTTGCATAAATTAAAGTAAGATTCAAGACTTATTCTCATTTTAAAATTTAAAAAACAAAGAGGACAGCTCTTGCAAAATAACAAAGAGGAACAGAAGATAATGAAGAATTTTACAATGTTGTTTAAAGCATAAGAAGTACTTATATCTTACTGGACCAGATTTTTCTAGCATCAGACAAGATTATTGTGATAGTCTCTACCTTTTTATGTTCAGATAAGAAAACTGAATTAAATGAGTTATCTACAACACATAAAAATAGATTTTCCCCCATAATACTTCCAAATAATGAATCTCTTTCTAGTAAGTACTGATTATGATACCTTAGTCCATTGCCACAATATTCTACCAGCTGATACCAGTTTCATTATCAAATCACTTATTTCAGGCTTGAAATTTCTACACGAATGAAAATATCCACAGCCAATTATTCCTGAAAAATAATAGCACAGTTTTAGCTTTAATATTTTCAAGTAAGAACAGCTTTAAATCTAAAGTTTTACTGCATTGGTGTCATGCAGTCAGTTCAGGTGTATGGATTTGTAATTTTTCTTATTTTCTCTTACCTTATAGGATTGTAAACATAGAGCTTAGTTACTTATTAGGCCACAATTACAGAACTGATGAAATTAAATATGATACTGAATAATTGTCTCATAATAGAAAAAAACTCTTCTTTAAGAATAATTTAAAATTGAAACCTGGTTGGTTTCAAGGTTTATTATCTCCAAATGGCAAGCAATGCAGAACTAAATTTTGCTATTTATATTTCCTGCAATTTCCTGTAGATATCCTCTACTGCTTCACTGTGGCTTTTTTATAAGATTAAACCCAGGTAAGATATTAATGATCATTTTTACCAGCTTCAACTGAACTAGATGGTAACTACTCAAAGGGACTTTCTAATGGTTGGCACTCCATTTTTGGAGATCACTTTTCATTATGATGCAAGTCTGGCATTTTCATAAAGTCTGAGGTTTTCAGCTAGAATTGTCCTAGACATTTTATTTGAATAGTAACTATATGTAGGAGATGTCCAGGCTGAGCCCAAGGGAGGGGTTAAACATGTCATGAGTCACAAGTCCCTTCAGGCCCACAAGAGATCTAAGTCCAGCCCACTTTGAATTCCTTTCTATTCTTAATTCCCGCTAATTTTCTTTGACTGTTAGTAGTTCAGATTTCTGTAGAGTAGGGCTCCCCAATCTGTGGGCTGTGGCCCACTACTGGGTCATGGCCTATTGGCCTCTGGGCCACATGAGTGGTTGGCTGGTACGTGTGCACGCAGCCCCACTTGCACAAGCACTGCTGTGAGCATCACGGGTGTTCACTACCCCAGTTGTGTGACTGTAGCAGACGTTTGCAGCCCCACTCATGTGAGCGTCACCATGAGCATTGTGGCCATTTGGGCCCCACTCATGCGAGTATCGCCACAAGTGTTGCAGGCGTTGCGGCCTCATGTGCAAGCCTCGCATCACCATTAGCGTTGCAAGTGCTCACAGTCCCACTAACGCATGCACTCAGGGTGCCACTCTTTAGGAACGGGTGTATACATGAATTTACACCCCCCACAAATCCATCCCTTCTTTTCCCTCCCCCCCCCCTGCTCCGGGCCACCAACCCTGAAAGTTTGGGGAATTCTGCTGTAGAGAGTTTTTGCTTACAATATATCTTTATATACATTTGAACTGCCTGGATCTCCTGATTTCCCTGATACTGACACTATATAATTTTATATTCTCTTTATGTTTTGTTTCGTGTTTATGCGGTTCTTTTGCCTGCGATGATAGAACTCCTCTCTCTGTAGTTTTATTGTAGCTGTTAAAATTTGGTTGCATTCTTTCCTAACTTAAAGCCTTTCAAATATTTTGGATTTCAACTCTCATTATCTTCAGACACAGGAGGGCTCCCTCATTTAATGTGGAAACATTCCAGGCGGGACTCTCAAAAACAAATTGCCTGGTTTCTCTATGATAAGATAGCATTACTGTAAATTCTCCAAGGGACTGGGCAAAAACATAATAAAATATACAAACAGTACGAATGCTCAGTCATCTGTGGCTGAAGAAACTACATTATAGTGTCCTTGAAATGAAGCTCAGCTATTAGTAGGAAACATTTAAATTCTAGATAATTTATCATCCAATTTATCATTCAAATTTTTGGATTGGGTGAGAATCAAAATGATGCAATTTCCTTGCAGCAAGATTATTCATATGGGTGCAGATTTATTTCTTTTTAATTCTGATGGAGAACATTTAGATCACCTCATCAATAACCAATAAAATTATTTGTAAAATAAAGTTAGTAAAACAATACAATTATTATCTAAATTAAATATCAATGTCTGACAATTTCATTCCATGTACCAGCTTACACACACATGGCTTTAGTTTCGTTAAGGAAAAGAATTATCCGCTGATAAAAAAATGTATGAAATCTGTTCAGTTCTACTTAAAATTACAGAGAAAAATGAGAGTACCAAATATTTTATCAATGGAGGCATTGGATGGAAGGGTGCAGTTAAATACAGTGAACTGCCTCTTTAAGCGTTGCGGGATGTCATTTCGACCTCCTCCTGGGTGAATCATTGCCCCTATAAGCTGCACATCAACAATTGTAGTGAAGTCTCCAGGTTTATCCAAACTATACATTCCTTCCATTTCCATCATCTGACGCACTATTTCATTTGTCACCTGCACATTTTTTAAAAAGCAACAGATCATTTTTTCAAAAGAAAAAAAACCCCATATATTTTTATTCTACTTGGGATACATGGCAGAATGTGGTTTAAGTGTAGCTTTACATTGTATGCAAGTACCATTCCATCTAAAATAAATAAGAATAACATGGATCTACCGGTATATAGATTTCAGGATGAAAGACATTTCTTAACTTTCAACAGCAAAAATGGATTAATACAGTGTATGCAGTAAATGAAAGTAATTACAAAAATAACCATTTTTATTAACAATAAAAACTACACTAATTCTTTATACTGAGAACATTCTTGCCATCTAACTCAAAAATGTCCACATCAGGTACAGGGAATTTATTATCTGCTCTGTCATCTCCTGCTTTTTCTGAAGTCCTGTTCCTTCTCCCTTGCTCAGAATCCATCTCCATTGCTCATACATGTAGATTTTTTAAAACCTGACCTTCTCTGTCCAAACAATAGCTGGTAAGAATCGCAATGCTCAGAAATCCTACATTTCAGATGGTCCATGGGCTTTTCTCCTGAGCACTCAGGCACAAACCATTTCTGAATTCTGAGCAAAACTCTTCTTTTCACAGAAAGGGGAAATTATTACTCTTTGAGCCTTGCAGCAAGGAAAAAGGAAGCCTGGTGGGACAATGGTAGATCCAGGGGCTTCATCTCCCCTAATCATGTGAAATGGCATAGTTGTAAGGGGGATTCTGGCATATGAATTGAGTTTGGTTTCTTACCTGTGGACCCTCTTGAAAGTAACTCTTGCAGATGATAGAAAATTTATCCCAATTTAGCTATCTTAGTATTAAGGAATAAAGGTGGGGGCTTTTAAAATAAAATATGGACGCTCCTTATTGCATTACTCTTCTATTCCCAAACTGGGTTCCATCTCATTGTTTACACTTAATCAAAGAAAAGAGTATTCAGTTAAGATGCCGTATTGCTGAGCTCCTGGTTTCTTTGTAGATTTAAAACCCTATATAACATCTTTCTGCATACATATGAGCTCACAGATCGGTTGCATAGGCAGGAACTCCATTAAAATGCAATCTATGTATCCTTGTCACTCTTGATTCATACAAGGGTTGCACTGCCTAAAAATGTCCTGCAAGCACGTCAAGAAAAATACACGACTTGACTGCTTTAAGAATATATACTTATTTAATAGATAGAAGTTGTTATTCAGGCAGAACATTATAATCAGCCTACAATTTTCCTAGACTGATTTTTGAAATACTGTTTCTAAGCAGTGCTAATAATTTTATAACACAATCAGAAAATACTGTTAACGTGGGGAAAAGTTTCTGAAATAGCTTATTTTTTAGAAGTATCATTTTTATTAACAAAATATTGCTTACTTGTATAACTATAGACACTTATTAAAACTGTACCTGATCTCCCCATTCATTTATAATGGGCATGTTAATGTCATCAATGAATATGGTCATTTTTCTGCCCCCTGGAGGTCCATAGGTACTGCCCATCCGCTTGTCCACATAACTTTCTATTGTCCTCTTAATAATTAAACCACACAAAAAACACAAGTAAATAAATAAATGAAGTTATTTTTAATTTTTTGTTAATGAGTTTTAATTTAAGCCAACCAATTGGAATTAAACAATCATGCTCTGAAATAATTTATAATCATTGCTGGAGTATTAAAAACACACAGCAAACATCAAAATTGTGCCTTTTCTTTAGGTTATTTCAAACAGTTTATATAGAAACAGATGATGTAGAAACAGTTCATAAAATCTACAGTTTACCTGAAACATTCCAGGTTCTGTTGCTGAAGAAAAATTTAAACTTTTTGATAACTGTTCTTCTGGATCATATTTTTTTAAATAACCTTTAATCATTACAGTCTTTGCAGTTCCTTGTTCACCAATGAGCAATACTGCCTGTAATAATTTTAGTATCATTATTTTCACAGCCTTATTATATATTAAAAAAAACTCTTCAGTTCTGCCAAAAAAAATTACATACTTAAACTCAACAAAACAGGCAATGTGACTTTGCTGTCTTGTTGTATTATATATTATATTTTTGATTTAGTCATGCAGGGCTCAATGAACTGGAGCTAAAACTATTTTATCCATAAGAAAAAGAGCTATAGGAGTTGTAAAAACACAGATAAAATCTGTTATCTGCTCGCAGCACATAGACCCACACAGACTTTGATAGTAAAAAAACATTTTGGCATACAATGGTGGGTGGAAAGAGTGGTGTGAGAGAGAAGATTAATGGAATGACTGCAAAGTAAGAAAAAGAAATAAAAGAATTCTAAGAAAAGAAGAATATTTTCTAGATAGAGAATGGCATATTTATTCATTGGAGAATTATTTGGAAATATCTCCACAGACAAAATAGACAATGTATAGACACGAATAGAAAAATCAAATAATTAAATATGTATGACATTGAGCACAAATACAGTATGTCCATCACACCTCCCACTTTTAAAATTTAAAATTAGGAGAGAAATTGTGAAAAAAAGCAAATTTTCACAAATCATAATTCAGAAAGTTGAGAGACAGGTTCACTTGGCATCTTAATAGAAAGCTAAACACATTGTACAGTATCATGATTTAGCAGAATGTGTGCATTATATTCAGTGGCAAAGTAGCATCCTCTAGTAGTTCATAGTTTGCCAATAAAATATGCACTCACTTTGTGTTGCTTTGCTATTGTATCCATCAAAAATTGTGTTCTGACATTGTCTACATTTGGAACTAGAATAGATGAATACTCAGGAATGCTGTCAGTTGGGTAAACATATTCCTGAACCTTTTTATTCCAATGATCCCAGTCACCTAAAATGGAACATAACAACAGTAGAAAAACACTAATTATTTCTCGTCTTCAACTACTATATTTAGTAATCAAAGTAGTTTTTAAGAAATCAGACATTCTATGCAGTAGCAGCTCAATCGACTTAAAGAAATCAAGGGCTCTGGGTTTTTTTCCCAGTCAGATCAGTCTTCAGGCAGATTGACCAAATTAAGAATTAGAATTAGACAAAATCAAGCAAGGGCTAGTGGTGAGATAACCTGTAACCAGCAAAGTGTTATTTTGGAAAACGGCTACCACCTTTTTGCTCTATGTTGGGGATGTAAGGGAAAATGGACAATAAGAAGAACATGAAAGGAATATCCTATTTTTCCCCCTTTGGTGAGGATGGGTAAACCTTTGCCACTCAGAACTATCTAGCTGTTATTAAAACAAAATGTTGGGAAATTAGTTTGTATTATTTTTCTCCACAATGCGTGCCAAGTACCACTTGGCTTTTGTCTGTTTGTTTAATCTATATTTATCTATTTTTTAACTTTATGGTTCTAAGCTGCCTCCAGCCACCCAGTTACTGATATGGCATACAAGTCAACAAATTTAATGAAATAGGAGCCGTGGTGACACAGTGGTTAGAATACAGTATTGCAGACTAATTCAGCTCACTGCCAGGAGTTTAATCCTCACCGGTTCAAGGTTGACTCAGCCTTCTATCCTTCTGAGGTTGATAAAATAAGCACCCAGATTGTTGGGGGCAATATGCTGACTCTGTAAACTGCTTAGAGAGGGCTATAAAGCACTATGAAGTGGTATATAAATCTAAGTGCTATTCTTATTGCTATTGCTAAATAATTAAAGCAGAATTGACTCTTTAGCAGGTATTACTAAAATGTATAATGTGCCAAATAGAAACATTCAAATAAATGATGGTTTCTGATTTATAGATGAGTGCCAAAGTTATATGTTATAGGCTGAATAAACTATAAAAAGATAATGCTCTCTGCAAAACTGTACTAAAAACATTAGGGTTATTAAAAGAAATTAAGAAGGATTGCACTACTCTATCACTTACCACAATCACTGACAAAATATTCATACATTGTATGTGTTTCCCCTTTATCAAATACTGGCAAGTCCAGTTTGCTTTCATGGTTTCTCAGGAAAGCTTCCAACTTCTCCCGACTATCCAACTCTAGAAGGGATCCTAAACTCCACATTATGCCAAAGACAAATAACCTGTAAAGATGTGCCAGACAGACAATGCCACCTTCTTCCTTAGAGGGTATCAAACCTTCCAAAAGATTAATAGACTGAAAATATTTTAAAAAGAGAAGAGAAAAGAAGAGAGGTAAGAATACCTGGAATACAATCTAAAATGAAAATAACTGCAGATTCACATAATACATTTTGCTACCTACAAGGCACGTAACAAAACTGTATTTAATGTACCTCATATTTTTCAACAACCTTATCAAGAAAAGAAAATTTCTGTGTATTTCAATAGCAATATGGCACAGTTTTGTTAGATTTACTAAAAACATACCTGCATGATATAGTTACATTCTAGCAATTCCATTTTTGGAAAAAGATTCAGTTTCATGTGGGTATATGCTGCATCAAATACTTTGTCATATAAACCCAATAATATATCTGCTTCTTGTGGAGTACGAGTCTTCAACCATCCCTGTAAAAAATAAAATAAAATAAAGGAGAATGCCAGTCAGCTGTCCCACAATTTAAAGTGAATTTTTAGAAAATCCTCTCTCAAAACATACCTGCAATATTGGCCTCCAGGTTAGGGCAGAAGAACTGATGTACACCATACCCATCCTGGAAACTGTAGCAGGAGAAGCATTTTCAATATTGTGCACTTCAAAGAGCAACTTGCAAGTAGGAGCCATTGGAATCCGGTCTCCATTTGCTAAAGTCAGAGTCTTATTATCATCAAGCACCGAATTCAGATTTTCAATCCAAATTGCATCTACAGGGCCATCTAGAATCAGAAAAATATTCTCTCCTGGAAGTAAAATGAAAGAGTTTACACAAGTCAGAATTTATGGTTCAGTTAATAAGTTCATCATCATCGTCATCTTCTTCATCGTTCTGAAATGCATATTGAATGATACAATTTGACTATGTACTACATATTTTTAAGCCCTATTGCAATCAGATTCAGGTTTTTTATCGGCCCAAGGGAAGATGATAATGCAGTTACTAGCTTTTTTACTGGTACTTCCCCCCCCTAAAAACTGGAATTAAAAAAATTGTATCACAGAAAAGTACAGTTCTTCATATTATCTTGATTCAGTGATATAATTTCTTTGAGGGAAAAATATCAGTATAGATGAAAACAGAAGAACAATTTTAAAAGGAAAGTGATATTCTGTGACCATGTTGCTAGTTACACTATTTCTTTTTAAAAAATATTTGTACTTTGCTCCAATGGGTTTATCATACCTTTCTTGGCTTTAAGGGTTTTTCTCCACAAGGTGGAGAAAATTCCATCTGTCCAATCATTTGTTGCTGTATCCAATTTGCCAAACATCTGAGGAGCTGTAATAGCTTTTGGATTCATGCGCATTTCTCTGTGAGGATATCCACATTCTGTCATTGCCCTCATCAATATAGTTATAACAGTTGTTTTTCCAGATCCACTTGGTCCAAGTGTCATCAACCCATGGCGTACTTTGGATGTTTCATACAACTAAAGAAGGAGGGGTGGTAGGAGAGGAATGGAACTGGATTATTGGACTTGCTTTCATAAAATATTTTCTCCTGAAAAGGGCTAAAACATGAAGAGTGAGAGGGCAATTGGCATATTTTATGGAAGACCCCGAACTGTCATTAGGAAAAAAAAGGCTAAATTCTAAATGGTGAAGTTAACCATGGCATAGATACTGCTAACATACATATAAAACCCCAACATATTTAACAGAGAAAAAAAGTCAGTCTGTAAGAACTGGGTATAACATTCTACCCTTTTGGCCTTTAGAACAGGTACATAATAGCTCCCTGTAACATCAACCATAATTTAGAAAATAGAGTTTGAAAGGGAATTTATAAATCAAATGTTCCTATGATATAGCACACTGATCTTTAAGGGTGCTAAATCACAAGAGGGTCCATGAGATCAATTGCCCACTTCAGACCTTTTCCTGATATACAGTTTCCAGAACTTTCAACCAAATGGCCATTGGCTGATTACTGTGGGAGCTACATTCCTAAATTATCTAAAGGCATTGGGTTATTGGAAGTGGAAGATAGGGGATGTTATATCTCTTTCTTGAGAAGTTATATTTGGGTATGGTTCCTGAATATTAATAACTACATACATAATGTAAAATATGTAGTATTAAACTTGGATTATTTGAGAAGAGGCTCTGAAACATATTTATTGAAGAATATGAGAAAAATGATGGTAAAATTCACATTGAAACTTTAATTACCATAACTTAGTTTTATATTCTATAGTACTGTCTTCTGAAAATTTAAAATATGTAATGTTATACCTGTACAAGTTTAAGATTCCAGGGAGGATGATTAATCAGTCCTGCCTCTTCAACCTGATTTGCAACTGCTGCTTGAAGCTCAACATAAGTATTACTATCCAGTACCAGCCCAGGAAAGAGATCATTGATAAGACTAAGAAACAAGGGCTCATCTTCATCTACCTGGATAACAAAACAAAAAAAAGTTTTAAATATAAATTTTTGACTTGTGGGAAGGAAGCAGCAACAGAATATTCAAATATATATTTCTTATGAGCTTGAGAACATAGAGAACAAACTAGATACAATTTATGAAGGTCAATAAATTATACGGAAGTACTGCATAAGTTCCAACAACCTGATTCCATTGAATTCAGTGGGGTTTCAATATTATTTCTTTCGGTATAATTTGCTTAATTTATTGTATGCAAACTAAATAACTGTATGTATGCACAAGAGAGTATGCAGTCAGACTGAGAATCACATACTTCTAGAAAAGTATACAAGAAGCTTACTAAATCATTTTCATAATTACTCTAGCAATGGGAAGTTTAAACAGCTTCCAATGTATTCATAGCGTTTACAACATTTCATATTACACTGAGAGAATACTTTAAATTACATTTTATTGTCTATATTTCTTATTTTATCAAAATTACCTGCTGGCTTCCCCCCCCCATCAAAATTAAAATTATGGCCCTGTGTAGAGGGAGTAGATGTTTCTTTTGCTGAAAATCAGCATTCAACATTTGATCTGAAGATATAAATTATTATTCCAAATCTTCTTAAGGACAATAATTAACTTTAAAGACAATGATGCTTTCATTAATTATTCAGGGAATAACTGATTTAGAAATAATGACAGTTGTCAAAATATAACTTTAGAGCATCACATTGTTTTCATTTGAAAACAGTTTTTAAAAGCTAAAAAAAAATAACAAAAATATTGCAACCTGACCAATACCAAACACTGCAATGGATACATTCTTACAAGTTTAGAGAGGTTCATGTCCCTTAGACCTCTCATAACAGTACTCATTTCACTGTCATCTGGTCTTGCCCTCTTCTGTGATCCAAGCGTTCTCAGCACTGAAAGGATATTTCTTAACCCAAAATCATAATGAACCTAAGAAACAAAATAGATGGATCAATAGGTTGTGCATGTTTTCTTTCTTTAGTAATGGCATTCACAGAACTGTGAACATTTGACAAAGGTAAAATCTATTTTCTATTGCAGATAGAAGTACGTCAATACAAGCATATACACATGTATGTATAAAAAGGTTGTCTCAAGTGATTAAAAAGGAGGTACGGTTGCAGTAGCCATAATGGAAGCAGAGTTCTTCCCTCTTCAAAAACCCATTATTGGATCCAATGATTGTGACAACCTTTATCCAGCCTCCAACCTTCCCTTTTAGATAATAGTACTGAGACACCACTGGATATGCTTGTTGGTGGTCTTTGGGGAAACTGAGAAGGGAATAGTGCATCCATCATTGTGCTTCTTTGTCTTTTGGCAACTTTTGATACAGTCACATACAGTGTTTTTTGGAAGCAGAGTGCATTATATTACCATTTTTTCCCTTTCTCTGTGGTTGGTTCAAATCCACAGCTCCTCACTTGTGGGGTGCTATAGAGCTCAACACAGTATACTTAACATCTACATGAAACTGCTGGGTGAGGTCACCTATAAGTTTAGAGTCCCGTATGGATCAGTATACTGATGATATTCAATTCGTATATCGTGCCCCTGGCCTGTCCAAGCAGTGTTGTTGATGTTAATCTACAATTAAAAATGCTAACTCACTTCAAAAGCAACGACATGTAGGGAGCATTATGGTGTTTTGAATAAGTATTATTCCTTTGTGTAGATAATATTTGTGTTAAATTAGTATTAGATATATGTAGTTGTTATTTATTTTAAACAATATTACAAATACATATTTCAAATAGTAAACCTTGATCAATTACTTGCATTTGTGACTTCAGAAGTTATACAATGGTTGCAATTTTGGAAGAATCACCTCTGGCTTCTAAATCAGTATTTTTTTAATAGGAAGTTGGTCAATGAAATTGATATTTATTATATATACAGCTTCTGAAATATAAGCTTAAATATACTCTCCTGGTAAGCCAGTGGAAGTTTGAAAAACATGGCATTAGCTTCCTATGGTCTTAAAATAAGATTAATAAACAAAGGAATTTCTTAATGCATTTTGGATGTTTCTCATTTGGTTTGGTTTTGTCCTTATTGTCACATTTTGGGCCCACATCAACAGAACCATTACTATATTTTGGATCAATTCTTGTGTATTAGATACATATGTTAATGGGCGTTACCAGCAGCCAGATATATTTTTTGTACAAAATGGGTGGGGTTTGTTTTAAAAAAATTGTTTACAAAAGCAAATGAAAGCAAATTGATCTATAATAATTAGATCTGACAGAGAAGACATGTTGCAGGTAGCATTTGTCAGGGATGTATATTTGGTGGGTCCCAGGAGGTGGGCCTTCTCTGCCATGGTGCCTACCCTATAGATCACTCTGCCCTCCATCCCTGTTATTATTCCATAAGTCCCTCAAGACCTAGTTATGTCACCATACCTGGAGTTCTCAAGGAACTGGAGATGTTCTTCAATGGTTACAGTATGGTTGATCTTTTTATGCTCTGTGTGGTGTGTACATTTTAAATTTTAAAATGTTTTTTTTAATTTTAATGACTTTTTAATATTTTTATAATTAAAAAGTACAGGTAATCCTCACTTAATAACTGGTTGCTTGATAACCATTCAAAATTATCATGGCCTAAGTAAGAATGCTTTTCAGTTTATAAAGCAATTTTGACCATCATAAAATGTTGTACTGTTCCCCCCCTCAGTCATATGACCATGATTTGCAATGTTTTTGCTGCTTTCCTCCAGAAAGTTGCAAAAAAAAACCCACCCTTGTGCTGAATTTGCTTACTAACCACATGCTTAATTTAACAACTACATGTTCCACTTAACAACTGCAATGACTCAGCTTATGACCATCATGAAAACAGTCATAAAATTGAATCAGGTCATGTGGTGACCTGCTTAAGGAGTGCCCCAAATTATGACCAAAATGCTGGGCCCAATCGTGGTTATAAATTGAGGACTATCTATCTATCTATCTATCTATCTATCTATCTATCTATCTATCTATCTATCTATCTATCTATCTATCTATCTATCTATCTATCTATCTATCTATCTATCTATCTATCTATCTATCTATCTATCTATCTATCTATCTATCTATCTATCCATCCATCCATCCATCCATCCATCCATCCATCCATCCATCCATCCATCTACCTATCTATCTATCTTTGTTCTACTGATTGTTGTACACTGTTTTTTGTAAGATGGGCAGCCATATAAATGCAATTATTAAATAGATAAATAACCTGGGTGTAGGGGATTGCCAGTTATCAACACCATGATAAAGAAAGACTTATAAGGAGATTAGCCCACCCTCATCTAATCATTCACTCTATAGCAATAGGCCAAAATCAATTAGGAAAACCCTTGATAAGGTTTCCAAGTTAGGTTTACATGTTTATTTTTATTACTTAAAATATTCTGATTGAGCTGCTCTCTGTTAGCTATGACCACCTTTTGCCCATGGCTAACGAGAGAATAAAATATTACCTGTTTAGTAAGCTGTTCTTCACAAAGTTTATACAGAACAAAAAATTTCTGAGCCAAAATGACGTTATCAATAAAGCCACAGCTTGCAAGTTTCACTCTCATGATGATCTGAAATGGAATCATGCAGATTTAAGAAATTAATCAAAAGTAAGGGGAAAAGAAAATAACCCAGACTAAGATGTAAAAGAGTATAAGAGACTTGGGGGATATAAAAGTGATGCCCTATAAATTTAAAATGATACTGCATGACAATATGGCACAGTAGTAGCAGTACCTGTCTATCTGGAACCATCATTGCAACAGTTCTAAATTGAATTTTCAAGTTTTCTGGTAATTCCTGCCGCCCAGCATAGCCAGGATTCTATGAATAAAAAGAAACAGAAATAATTCAAAGCAATTGGATTGATTTTGATTATATCAAACCATAGGCCATGTTAATTATAGTGCTTTTAATTTCAAAGTGAGTGTGGGGGCATATCCTTGCCTTTCACGCAAAAGATTCTGGTCTACCTGAATTCATAGTTGAGGAGTACAATGTATATTAGTTTATATGGATGCAAGCCTGAACCTCCTATCTGTTTCTTGATTGTGAAGGAAGAAATAGCCATTTATTCTTGTCATGTCTAGAACATGGTGCATGGATTCCCATAATCCCAAGCTTTATTATAGTCACAAAAAATGTTCTTGGAAAATAACAGTCTGAACATGTAGTTCCACACACATGTTCTATTTTTATAAGAATGAAGACAGAAATCCCCGTCACTATGGAACTGTTATTCTATATGTTTGAAAAGATTATTGCCACATCTCAAGAATTCAGAGAGATACTCCCAATAGTCTTCTTGGTACAGAAAACTTTTTAATACTTGCAAACATCATAACTGATGGACAATAAGTAGATTATCTGAGAGCAGTCTTCACTTGCATATCTACATTGCTATCTTTTTGATAATAATTTTGCCTAGCCTTAAAATTGTTACCGGTAGTTCAGATTAACATCTGATTTTCATATAGACATGGTTGCTAGCTATGTGCCAACAGCCACTCCTTCCATTAAATCAAAATTCCCACTCCTAAACTTAAGTGCACTGAAGTACTTATCAGCACAAATTGTTAACTTGGTTACAACACTGAAGCTTGGAATGATTTTCTGATCCCAGATTAATTTGACTGCAATTTGGCTATCTCATTCTAAATGAACAATCAATCAAGTGTTATTTGTAAAAATTCCAACACAACACAATCAAGTAATGATGGGGGAATAAAAATAAGATTTAATAGACACTGAGAAGATAGCATCTTGCCAGAAGATAAACAATATCCTGCCTGAATTGAAGTATAGATTTTAAAAATTCATCTACAGAGAAAATTCTTAAAGCAGACACCAAATGAACCTTATTTGATTAAATATTTGTATTTTATGGAAGTCCCTAGTTCTCTGGAGAAGGATCTAATGCTGGAAAAGATAGAATAGAAGAGAACAAGAGAATGACCAGCAGCAAGGTGGTAGATTCAATTACTGAAGCAATGGGGGCCCTGTTGGAAGAGCTGAAGGACCAGGTCAGGGGCAGATGGAGAAAATCTATCTATGTGGTCACTAAGAGTCAACAATGACTTGATGGCATGTAAACAATCAGTTTTACTTGAGATATAAAATGTGCAATTGCTATAAATTTAATAGCTTGTAAATATATTGCTAGGATAGGCAAAATAATTAATTAAACATGTAATTTATTTTCAAGTAAGTTGTATAACAAATGTATGATTGATTTTCTCTCATCAATAATTAAAAAGAACCTCTACACTCTCATCACAATAAATTTACCATTGTCAGAAAAATTCCAAACTCAGGGTTTAAGTCCACTACATCTCCATCGGAAAATATGAACTGCTTTTTCCTTTCTTTTCTTGCTGTCAAAATGATGTAAATTTGTTGAGCTGCTACTGACAAGACTGGCAATTCAATTCTGTTAAATTCATCAAAGCATCCCCAGGAGCCAGACTGTGCAAGACCTGAAACAGGAAATGATTTATGTTTAAACAGATTACAACTTTCCTGTAATTAATGTTTTCACGTTCTTACCATATTAGGGCAACATCTCTTTTCCTAGAATTATATCCAGAAAGAAATATGAAGTGTCTGAACCTGGATATAATAATATCATAAAAAAGCAAATCATCTGGTAGTGTCACCCATTAGTAGAGTAAACATTGGATGCCATTCAATAGTGTTTGGAAGCAATACTACTAAATCAAGCAAAATACTGCACAGGCACCATACCACAAACATTGAAAAACATCTGAAAAAGATGTAAAGGGAAAGATCTATAATAAGATTCTCTATTAGCCCCATTCAGAGCTACAGTGAAAAACCTTTCCCTCTTTTAGTTATGCTGCTGACTTGTGAATAATCCGTATCTGCATTTACAGTACAACTATCCAGAGCAGAGAGCTTACATCACTATGCAATAACTTCCATGCTAGCTGGAACCTAACAATATTGGGTTACAATTCACATAGAAACAATTTGTGTAGAGCTAGATTGCATCTCTAGAATAATTAGGAGAGATGAGGGATTACTTATCTCTCTGCCTCTCTCAGAGAATATTAACACTCAAAGGTAATACTCGATGAGGAATTTTGTTTGCAACCAAGCTAGTGTACACATTGAATTTGAATATCTAACCTTGTGTAATGGTATGCGGGAATGACCTTGGAAGATAGGATGCGGGAAGAGATGCTGCCTCAGGAATGATAAATTAAGAGATGGCACAGTCTTCATGCTGCATAATAGGCAAAGAAACTCAGAAACAAACCTTCCTAACTTATTAGGCTATAAAAGAGTCATTGAGGGTTTGCGGTATCAGACTTGCAAGATTCTGTTAATGAAGCTTTACAATAAAAGTAGAGTTAGTTTATCTGGTCATGATTCCTGTCTGGTCTGTCTGGGAAGGCTAACACTATGCAATAATATTGATTCAAAATGATTATGGATTTCAAAGGTATTGACTCCTAGGTGGATACATAGGTTGCAGACCAGGAATTTCTGTTCTTGGTGTTGTGTCATTTAATCAGTAAGCCTTTGTCTCTAATCTAATCTGAAATGCTTTTCTATAGAGTCTACAGCTAAAATGACCTTTTTTAAATGTTTGCTACTATAGTATTCTCTTTTATGCATGAAATATCAATTGTGGGCATTGTAAATTTCTGAAATTATTTCAGTCATGATAATAACTAAACTGTTAGAATTCTAATTATAAAAAAGATACTGCTTACAACTATAAAATGGAGGATCATAATCTCCCAATAGATTTTCGTTTTCTGTTGCATTCAGCAGTATCTTATGCAACACATATGGTTACATTTCTCTAGGTCTTCCATGAAACTATTTTTGATTTTGTATTTCTACTTTATTCTGGTATTAACAACCCAATGATATTTGAACAATGTTTATTCAAAAATAAATCCAACTTAACTTCAATTTCATTGCCTCAGGAAAGAATTTCTCATTAAGCAAAACTTAGTAATGCAGAACCTTTCTTGCATAGAGTAACTC